GTATTTTCGATCTTTCTATGCTGGAACTGAAGCCTCTGGCCCTTGACGATCCCCGTTTTTGAACATTTTGGTCCCCAAGCCAAATATAATTTCAATAGCCCTGCCATAGCTCAAAGCCTGGGCAGTACTGTAGAGACCATGTGATACTCATGTAGAACAATCCATCTTTCAGCTTGCTTTGTTAACTCCACATAAAAGGTAATAACATGTTTAGAATACAGCAGGCTACAGAAGCTGCCGAAAAGTCTGGGTAGTGCTCTGTGTGTCCACTTGTCAGAGCTTGCCTTTGATACCAGATGTTAACAAGGCTAAGGGCCTGGTCTGGCCTCCCATAATATTCAAGATTTCAGGTTGCATTTCCTGGAGCTGTTGGCACAAGTAGGATGCCAGCCGCGATGCCACTTTAGATGTTTAAATCAGACTTAGATGTTTTTTCTTGCATTTAGATGGCGTTTTGACGTTTAGATGGTAGATGTTTTTCATTTGGAATAAGTTTAACAAATCTAACCTAAGAAACAGGATGAAATTTGACCTCTTAAATGCTATCTTGACAGTAAACTTCAGCCTGATAAGAGTAGGAAAAGGCTGTTCCACTTATCAGCTTCCTGATTGGGTATTAAAAGAAATTGGAACAGCTAAAGCATACCAGAGTCATTTTGGATCTGAAGCTTCAACTTTATCATCCAAGCTAAGTTTATCCTGTGGATCTTGTAAGGCAGACTTCAGTGAAGATGAGGACATGATTCTATAGGGTAAGTCATATCAACTGCTATATAATTTGTGACTCTTTCAATTTGGATGTTTTTCTTAATGTTTTCCACGCATATTTAGATGTTTTGAGATATTTTTTGACTCCGTTTTGGATGTTTTTTTGTCAAAAGAAAGTGGCAACACTGTAGCAGAGACGGCACCCCGACCCCCTTTTATTAGTATTGTGCTCTTTGCACAGTGTGACCCTTGTGACTTTCACCCTTATTGTTAGAACTTTTCCCACGTACTTGAACTGTACGACCCAACATGTGACTCTCCCCGTCCAATGTCCAAACTCATTAATTAAAATACTTGTCCCGGCCTGATCAGGTGATGCCAGTAGCTGCAAAACAAGTAGGAGCCCCCTAGTAACCCCTTTATAAACGATTGCCCGGAACCTTCGAGGGGCAGACGGAGACACTCACAGACATAGACACACAGAGGGAGCCTCGCAGGAGCCGGATAGGCCAGAGGAGCGCTTAGCTCAGATAGATAGACAGACAGACCAGAGGAGCGGTTTGCTCAGATAGACAAATAGATAGATAGATAGACAGATAGATAGACTTAGATTCAGGGATTGGAGCTCACAGAAACAGATAGACGCACGCACAGTCAGGACAGACGAACACGAGACGAACAGAGGATAGTTGAGCAATGACAGTAGAAAGAGGACAGCAGAAGACAGCAAAGAACAGATGAGGGACAGCCTAGAAACGGAGTGAGGAGAACAAGCGACTAACACCGGCTGATTAAGCAGGGAAGAGAGTATAGATAAGTAGATTGACAGTATTACTTAATGAACCTTTTAGCCCAACCTGCACTAGTAGCCCGGTGGCAGTTTAAGACTCTAGTTTAATTAAAGAACACAACGCGAATCTATAAATATACATATAGAGTTAGGAGATGAACAAGGTGATTTTTCTCAATTGTGTGACATTGTTGCTATGAAATATTAAACAAGAAAATTTGGAGAACGAGTATTGTTATTGTTTGAGCACATAGTGCACGTGTGTGGCACGAAGCAAGTAACACAACATCATCTTCAACATAACGTAACCACTATCGTCACGACCATCTTTCTCCTCGTCTGTCAACAATCACCCGCCACCCTCGACACAAAAGATTTGGAGAGCCTGGGTTAGAACTTCACAGAACTGTAGTGTCACATATAGGAGCGGGGTGGTGGTGTTGATTCTGGTGCCGTTCGCAGGATTTGAAAAAAAAAAAAAAAAAACCTGAGACATTCTTGAAGGACAAGTAGGAAACTTGATTATAGTGCCCAGTGCAAGGATTTTCAAAAACAGATAATTTTGAAGGACAAGTAAGAAACTTGAGACTTGAACTGATTATATTAACAATACGATGCAATAACTCTGCTTTTAAGAAAATCTTGCAGACCTTTGTTTTTCTCTGACCAACGAGAAGAGAGAAGATACTCACGTCAACGAGACAACCATCAGGAAGACGACATTTTGAATTTTTTGGTGATGCCTTACGGATTAAAAAACTCACCGAGTTTGTACATGCTCCTCATGGATCAGGTTTTAAGTGGCATGCAGAAGTTTGCCTTGGCTTACATTGATGATATATTGATCTACACTTCTGGTTCTATAGAAGATCATTTGATGCATGTTTCCAAAGTATTTGATCGCTTGAGGGAACATTCTGTAAAGCTGAAGTTAAACAAATGTCAGTTCTTGAAAACCGAAACCAGATACTTAGGCTTCGTTATAAACAGAGAAGGTTTGAAACCAGATGAGGATAAAGTCAAAGTTATCCGAGAATTACCTCATCCTACGAACGTCAGAGAAGTTAGAGGATTCATAGGGATGTGTGGTTATTATAGACGCTTCATTCCAAATTTTTCAAAGATAGCTGAACCCATTGTGAACCTTACCAAGAAATATGCCAGATTTAAATGGACTGATGATTGTCAAAGAGCATTCGATTATATCAAGGAAAGTTTAACCGTCGTTCCATTGCTAGCACATCCAGACGTTGACAAGGAGATGATTCTATATACGGACGCGTCAGACACTGCAATTGGCGCTTGTCTGGTCCAAACTTGCTCTGAAGAAGAAACACCCATAATCCCAGGAGTAAGGAATGAGAAACCAATATATTTCCTATCTCACAAACTAAGCAAAAGTCAACAAAAATGGTCGACAGTTGTTAAAGAAGCTTATGCCATCCATTATGCGCTGCAGAAGCTTGATTACTATCTACATAATGCAAGCATTATCATTAGAACAGACCATATGCCACTAAAGTATCTTCTTGAAGCACCATTACAAAATCGAAAGATACAAACTTGGGCTCTGAATTTGCAAGGCTATAATGCTAGGATAGAGTACATAGCCGGCAGGGATAACACATGTGCTGATTTACTTTCTAGGATCCCACATAAAGAGGACACGAAAGAAGAAGAGGATAGTGAACCTGAGATTAACGACCATACTTGGGAAGTAAATATAATAAACTCCAATAGGTTAGAAAAACAACAAGTAGAAAATGACGAAGTTGATTCTGAACAGTCGGAGGAACTACCTCAAGAGTTATTGGATTTTGATATGAAAGCAGAACAAGAGAAAGATGAAGAAATACAACGAATAATCAAGGACTTGGCAGCTAACCAAGGAAAGAAAGTGATTAAAAACTTCATCGTATCACAAGATGATGGCCAGTTATATTATATTTCCAACCAAGAGGATGAACCTAGATTGAGGAAGTACATCCCAAAACATCTACAAAGGGAAGTAATCAAACAATACCATGATTCTAATGGTCATATGGGACGAGACAAGGTCTATGATGCGATTAGACTACGATATTATTTTCCTGATTTGTATAAGATAGTGTGTGAATATGTGGACTCTTGCGAGAAGTGCAGATTGAGGAACATGAAAGCTCTCAAATGTCCAATTCAAGAGACAGACATCCCACAATTTCCTATGCAGAAGATTAGTTTAGATATATCAGGTCCTCATCCAAGAACACTCTCCGGCAATGTTTACTTATTACATGTGGTGGATTGTTACAGTTTGTGGCCTGAAGTTTTTCCTATGCCAGACAAGTCCACAGACACGGTAGTTAGGTTGTTGTTACAAGAAATCATACCCAGATTTGCGTGCCCCACCGTTTTACTCACTGATAATGCGAAAGAATTCTGTAGCAGTAAGTTTGAAAAGGTCATGAAGGAGTTAAACATCAAACATATCACTACTTCTTTTTATAACCCCAGAGCCAATGGTAAAAATGAACGTCAACACCGAACTCTGTACGACATAATAGCTAAACTCATTGATGAAAATAACAGAGATTGGGATCTATTCTTGAGTCAGACACTAGGTGCAATTAGGACAAACATAAACGAGAGCACGAAGTATTCTCCATTCTTCCTGATGTATGGACGACAACCTATTTTACCTTTGGATAATTTGATCAAACCAAGACGAAGATACATGGGAGAAGACTTTCACGAAGTCATACTGCAGGAAATGCACAAGGCTCATGTCAAGATGTACCGAAATGTCAAGAAAGCTTTCAACAGACAAAAACGATATGCAGATAAAAATGCTAAAATGCAACAGTACAAAGTAGGTGATAGAGTTTACTATAAGAAATTCGCAAGGACCTCGAAGTTTGAAAACAAATGGTTATCAGGATACTATATACTGGAGCAGTTAGGACCAGTTACGTTTAAAATAAAGAATCAAATCACAGGTCATTGTGCGAAGGCACATATGAACCATCTTAAACCTGATGATAATATATACGAGGAACCCACTGAAAAGCTGGAAGGAAGACCACGTAGAAAAACAACTTGTGTAATTCCACCTGAAGACGAAGAGGATACAGAGACCCAAACAGAAACAAGTATTATGGACAGTGAAGAAGAAATGATCCCTAAAGAATTTTGGACGCCTTTGCCTTCATCATCTAAGTCTGAACATACTGTAGAGAATACGGATGGTGAAGATCAAACAATGGTGGATGAAGTGTATCCGTCATCAGAGGAAATGTCCGACGTCGATGATGCTCCATACAGAAACACTCGTGCAGCAACCAGGCGTAGGCTGGATAAAGAAAGAGAAAAAGAAATTAAAAGGATGCGACAAACACGTTCAAATTCTTCTAGTGAAGACGATATGCCATTATTAGAAAGATTACGGAGAAGAGAAGATAAAAGTAGAAGATTACGTAAGGAAGATAGAAAACATAAAGGATTGCAACCTAGCATAAGTGATCAGAGTCTAGAATCTAATGTAGATGAGAGTGCTAATGAACTATCCGATATGGAAGCTGAGGTAACCAAAAGAACTATAAAAAGAACATCAGATTGCAATACTGTTAGTGCAGAAAGTAAACCCACGAACAAGAGTAAACAATTGCGACAGTCTGAGGTAAAATTATCATCTAAGAAGTTACATAAAACTGCTAAGACACATGATGATAGTGAACCTAACTATAAAAGTAAATCTAAATCTAAGAAAGAAGTTAATGAAAAGAAGGATGTTATATTAGAGATGCTAAGGTATTTAAATGAAAACTGATACCCAAAGTGAGCAGTCCAGTGACTTTATTCATATCACAGCCCATGTATTTCTTGAAAGTCATGTTTTCTTACAGCCAGATGTTAGTACTCTGTCAAAATGTGTTGATCTGTCTCATATACAGCTTGTTGAAAGAATGACTTTAAATATGCCTTGATTAGTTTATAGTAAGATACCATCTCACTTGAAGGATATAAAAGAAATAGATTTCAGTGCCCTTACTCATGAGTTGAACCAGATGAGAAGTCTTGAAGACATGTCGTCATGTACTAGCAGACACTGAACAGTTGTCTTGACTTTACTTGGGATTCTCTTTATAGTGATGTTTCTTGTCTATATCAAAATAAGGAAACAGTTAAACGGTTGTACCCCGACATAATGAGCGCATAGCTGACGAAAAGGGAGACGCACCATTAATTTGATTTTGTTGTTGTTGAAGATGAAATGTAATGATTATATGCTTTGAAAATATGATTAATCTTTTCTTTGGTATTTTATTTCTTTTTTTCATGTCGAGAGTAAACACGCTGTGATGTTGTTCGTGGCCATGTAATTGTATGAAGAAGTTGCCATCCATCAATCTGCTACGCAAATGCTTAATATGTGGAGCTTGCCATCCATCTCCTACGCTGCTACGCAAACGTCAACACAGTGACCATTCATACGCAGTGGCGCAAGACGTACAATGTTCACACCAGGGACACATCTAAACCCCAGTGGAAGAACGATGAAGTCACCTTCATATTGTATATCGTCTAAATATTTGTATCCAATTATTGTCAAATAAATAAACATTAAATATTTAATCATATTTATAAAAAAAAAAAAAAAAAGAAGAGAAGAAAAGAAAAGAAAAAGAGTTTTTACTATGTATACCTTACTTAATGATAACATATTATTTGTGCACTGTGTCTTTGAATGTTATGCAAATATTCACTGTATTATTCTAGATCCCCCTATAAAAGAAAGGTGGCAAGACATTGATGATGATAATTACTTCCCTTGTTTCAATGGCGGCTCTCTTATGATGTATAATTATTTCAAACTAACACAAACTTGCCTACAAAGTCACAGTTGAAGCGAAAATGGCACTGCTTTCTAGAGAATCGAACTGTAATACATCTGCCTAGAAGCTGAAACCACTGCGAAACTACGCAGTCCCCAAGAGCCCCGCTCTGGGAGGGCAAGGTGGTAGATCCTTTCCAGACCCCACACATTCCATTCCATGTATCCACTTCAATAGTTGACAAATAGTTTTCTATAAGGACACTCATGCTTGTATAATCAAAGTGTATCCTTTCTCAAAGTGAGGATTTAGAACCGTTGGTTAAAAACATCCTGAAATTGTCTATGTGTGTATACCAAGTTGTCAATCGTCATTGCTAGCGCCCGTGTTGACATAACCCCCATTAGTGCCCACACCTAGTTGGCAAAATATGATTTCTCTGCCACTGGCAACTGAGTTATGTTAAAATTAAGTTCTATTGTATTTGAGAGTAGGTAAAGTGTGGAATAATCCAGCAAGACAAAAGAGCATTGTTCCCCTTAGTCCATTGTGATCATCTTAGACCAGCACCCCTTTACTTCCCCCGTTTCTTCTATTCCCTTTATTGGAAATCTAGCGTAGCGAAATGATATCCAACTGTGAATGAATATAGAGATGGCAGCCCTATTCCCTACTAATTTTGTTCCTATGTATGACTAGTCAAGACTATTGGATTATATTTGTTTGATTGTTGTATTTTCCATTTATAAGAGCAATGTAATGTATTTGATTTTTATGTTGATGTACATGTTGGTTTAAACATACAACGAGGCATGTCGTAAAGGACACTGGTGGATTTAAATAGATGAAGATGCATGTCGTAAAAGACACCGGTGGATTTAAATAAATGATGATGCATGTCGTAAAGGACAGGCGTGGTTGAGATTTATGAGGCTGTTTCTTACGCCGAGGAATCTTTTACAAAGAATTGTAGATGTCTTGCTGAGAATACTTTTCGAAGATTCGAACCCTCAATGGCTCAGTAAAGACATGAAATTAAGACCGTAACTCTGTGCACTGCTGGATATGCAGATACAGACAGTCTTGTGTTTTATAGACCAAATGATCAGCCTGTCGGATGCATAAAAAGGAAAAGAATATTTGAAGTAATTTGAGTTTACGACGCTTGTGTATCTTTGATGCAGTATTTTGATGATATTTATTTTGAGCAATGTAATTGTTGTATATTGGCGACGCTGAAGTTATTGTTATAAGACATGGATATAAACGAGTGGTTTGTAATCACGTAACATATTCTGGAACCCATTGAGAGGAATTCGAACCGGTAAAGCTATGTGAAATTCTCACACATATCTCTGTCGTTATGAAAACGTGTTGACAGACACGCCTTGTATAGACCAGATTGTGTAAAATTCATGTTGTCGTTGGAGCCCCGTGCTCAAGGCCACTTAATTCATGGGCGCCATACAATCCAGAGCGTCACTTCATGGTGGCTTGACTTTTATAATTTGTTGCACTTTGATGAATTTTTAATGATTGTTATGATGTTTGTATATGAAGTTCATATTGTTGTAAAATTTTAGCGGTAGGATTAACTAGGTTTTAAATTGTTAGAGGGACACTTAGCTCAGTCAAAAAGATAAATTTTTTTCCCAAAAATTTATATTTTTATTGGATGGGAAGGGAATGTAGCAGAGTCCGTACCCCGACCCCCTTTTATTAGTATTGTGCTCTTTGCACAGTGTGACCCTTGTGACTTTCACCCTTATTGTTAGAACTTTTCCCACGTACCTGAACCGTGCGACCCAACATGTGACTCTCCCCGTCCAATGTCCAAACTCATTAATTAAACTAGTTGTCCCGGCCAGATCAGGTGATGCCAGTAGCTGCAAAACAAGTAGGAGCCCCCTAGTAACCCCTTTATAAACGATTGCCCGGAACCTTCGAGGGCAGACGGAGACACTCACAGACATAGACACACAGAGGGAGCCTCGCAGGAGCCGGATAGGCCAGAGGAGCGGTTTGCTCAGATAGATAGATAGATAGATAGATAGACAGATAGATAGACTTAGATTCAGGGATTGGAGCTCACAGAAACAGATAGACGCACGCACAGTCAGTGGCAGAAGAAAGACGAACAACAAAGGATAGTTGAGCAGTGACAGAAGAAAGAGGACAGCAAAGAACAGATGAGGGACAGCCTAGAGACTGAGTGAGGAGAACAAGCGACTAACACCGGCTGATTAAGCAGGGAAGAGAGTATAGATAAGTAGATTGACAGTATTACTTAATGAACCCTTTAGCCCAACCTGCAGCAAGGTGATTTTCTCAGTTGTGTTTGGACATGGAAAATTTGGAGTACGAGGTATTGTTATGTTTTAGCACATCGTTAGAAGCTTCACAGAACTGTAGTGTCACAACACTGGATGCCAGGCTTGGTATAAGCTCTCTGTCTTCAGTGTTTACACAGATAGGACTGACTACTATTACTTTCATAATAGTGATATCAATTAACATATTTGTTTTCTTTCGCACATGACCTTATTTCCAAGTTGACCCAGTCTAAAATCGATACTACCCTTCCACCAAACATTTGTGTGTGTTTGTTCTGCAATTCTGCTTATTTCAATGTATCGACTTTTTTTTTTTTTTCAAAGGAAATATAAGTTTCTACAGTCTCAAGAGTTCCTCAAATGGTACGTCCTTTACTTAAACTTTATAACGACGTGCCCTTTTTTTTTCCTTATCCGCTATGACATCGCACTCGTTTTGACGTTTAGATGGTAGATGTTTTTCTAGATGTTTTTCATTTGGAGTAATTTATCAAATCTAACCTAAAAAACAGGATTAAATTCGGCCTGATAAGAGTAGGAAAAGGCTGTTCCACTTATCAGCTTCCTGATTGGGTATTAAAAGAAACTGGAACAGCTAAAGCATACTAGAGTCATTTTGGATCTGAAGCTTCAACTTTATCATCCAAGCTAAGTTTATCCTGTGGATCTTGTAAGGCAGACTTCAGTAAAGATGAGGACATGATTCTATAGGGTAAGTCATATCAACTGCTATATAATTTGTGACTCTTTCAATTTGGATGTTTTTCTTAATGTTTTCCACGCATATTTAGATGTTTTGAGATATTTTTTGACTCCGTTTTGGATGTTTTTTGTCAAAAGAAAGTGGCAACACTGGATGCCAGGCTTGGTATAAGCTCTCTATCTTCAGTGTTTACACAGATAGGACTGACTACTATTACTTTCATAATAGTGATATAAATTAACATATTTGTTTTCTTTCGCACATGACCTTATTTCCAGGTTGACCCAGTCTAAAATCGATACTAGGTACAGTCCCTGGAAAGTGAAGGCATTGACCATATCACCTAAAGTGTGCCAACTGATCTATAAAAGGGCTAGCGCCACACACCCAGTGCGCCTAGTGTGTGAAAATGTTTCTTTACTTGTGTTACAATAAATTTTAACATACTGAATACAAAAATTGTACCAGACAAACACAAATAAAATTAAACTTAATAAAAGCTTATAAAAACAGGAGCTGTGATAATTTCATTTATAATGTATTGCATTTCATTTTATCAAAACAAGCAAAAATAATTTTTTTTAATGTAGAAGAGTTCTGCCAGGCTCAAACATACTATCACCCGTAAGCCTCAAACATACCAACTTCAAATACAGATTCATCAGTTTGTCTCCACTTGTCAACTTTAAACATTTACATGTTAACATCCATAATCCTCAAACACACCAATAACCATCTGCCCTCAAACATCTATTTACACACAGGCCTCGCCTATCATAAATGTTTTCATTTTTACAGGATTAAAAAAAAAAATTTTTTAGAACAATTTGACATGAATTATCATCAATTACAATCATAGCAATTTGTCTGGTCAGAGATTTTTGTAAGATAAATCAAACTGCGAGTTTTTGCCTTTTTTTTTAAACTATAAACAAAGGTAAATGTATGGTGTCCGCCT